AAGGCTGGCGCTGCGGGCCTGGCCGGGCAGGACCGGCCTCGGATTGGTAATGACTGGTGTTTGAGCGGTACCCTAGCACACTCCGAAAAATAAACATGTTTGGGTTTTTTTTTGTTTTTTGTTTTGTTTTGTTTGTTTTTTTTCTTTTAGAAAATAGTTAAGCAAACCCAAAAAGGCCATGTGTCTGCAATGGCCAGTTTCAAGTTTAAAATCGTAACACAAATACTTAGGCTTTGCCACCCTTCGTGTAGCGCTTCGTGGAAACGCCATGGGTTATCCCAGCTAGCCCAATTTTTCTAAAGATGATAGGTCACCGGAACATTTAGCCGAGATGTTGATTTTTTTTTTTTTAGTTTTGCTTTACCTTTAGATGCATACTCTCAGTTCCATTTCAAGGTTTGTGTTATTTACCGATTTTAAACAGGGTGAAGAGCATATTGAACTTTTGATTAGGTTTCTGACTTAGAGTCTAAGCGGTGAAATGGCATTTGGGTCGACAATGGACCAAGTATGCCCCGGGGGTCCCGTAGGATTACGCAGTCATGGAGCCAGAGATTCCTGCCGCCCGGTGCCGCGTGGCTGCTCTGCTCTAACATCTTAGCACGAGGGATTATCCCCGTGTGGGTGGTGATGCCAAGTCTGGCACCTGTAATGACGGCCGCAGTGCCCCTGTGAGGTTGGCACAGTGAGGAAACCTAACCGAGCCAGGAGGCATTCCCTTTGCGAAGCAGCGCATGCCTGTGCGTTGACATCTCAATGGTTAGGAAAAAGGAAGAGCTTTCCTTCTCTAAAACTACTAGAATCCAGTGAATGTGATTGCAAACCCCATTGCATCTGATTCTTCTTATATGTGGTATATTTAAAAATCTAGAATCTGGCAGTTCTTCGGGAATAGAAGTAATCAAAAGTATACATTTGTACATACAAATCGCTGAAGTTCTACCTATGGACTAATGTGGTCTGCTTTCGGCAGCATTCCAAACACTTCAAAACACACACACACACACAACCCAGAAGCAGACATCACAAACATCACAGAAATTTGAAAATTTAAAATATCTGAATATCTGGCAGTTTTGAGAGGGATAAAAATGATATTTTGATAACTTTGGTACTGTAATGATAAAAGTAGATTGCCAGAAAGCATTAAACACAGTAATTTTTAGAAAGTAAACACTTAAAAGTTATCTGTATGTAAGCTTGCACTTGACATTTTTCATGATTTATTTTTACATTATCTTATTAAAATAAGAAAATTCTAGGAATGGGTTGAGAAGTTTCCCACTCAATATCTGTAGACGAGCCAAAGATGAGGTTTTGCCTAGGAGCCTAAAATCATTTTTGTGTGTGTGTGGAAGAAGAAAATTTGTTCTGTTTGTTCACAATATGTAGAATTATGTATTCTATGTATTGAAGAAACCATGTCACCAAATTCAGGTGTCAAAATAATTTTGCTAGTAAGGAACTTTAAAAATAATGAAAATTTGAAACACTGAACCAGAAGTTAAAAATAATTTTAAAGAATTCTCCGTAAGATATATTAACAGCTTAGTAGGAACCAAAGATTAAGTAGTAAGCTTATTTTCTATTAGGACTAAGAAAATGTTTTCTAGTAGTTTCTGAAACAAGGTTAGCTTATTAAGGGGCAGCATTAATCTGAGGCAAAAAGATGTGTTTTCCACACTTTTTTGTTTTTTGTCAACCTACATGAGAAAACAAAACAACTACATTAAAAAAACAAAGTGAACTAGGAGTCAGGAGAAATGGTTCTAGCTCCAGCTTTGGTACCATTTAGCTTTGTGAACTTGAGCAAGCCTCCTTTCTTAATTGATAAGAGGGTTCTGCAAGAATGGTTCAAGTTCTCCAAGATCTGGTTCTCAGTCATCCATGGAGAGCTTTTTCAAAGGTGTTGATTTCATTGCCATGTCTAAACCTCAGCCTGTGTTTAAGGTTTTTAAAAGCTCAAGTTATGCTAATACCTGGTAATTTGAGAACTACTCTACTAGATCAGTGTTTTCCAAACTTAGCTAATCATCCAGTCGCTTTGAGGAATAAAAATTTTTGTCCTGCTCAGAGCAATTGAATTAGAATTTCTGGGGAGAAATGTGGTAGTCTGTATTTTTAATAGGCTCCCCCTAAGTGATTCTTAAGAAATTTGGGGGAAAATGGATATTACAGTTATTTTGTACTGTAATAAAAGTTTCTGTTAATTAGGTGGTGAAGATACATGAATTCTGGTATTTGTAGCTATGCATTGTCTCAAGGATATTCTATTTCTGACATAGTGTAGGAAAAACTTAAATCTATGATTTTTATTCACAACTACTTTGATTATAAAGTTAAAATATTACGATTATACTATATATGCAAATGAGATTCTAAATGGAAATTCACATAATGCACATTTTTTTCTCTTTAAATGTTTTTTTGCACATGTTTTATATGGTGAATATTTTGCACAAGATTTGTTTGCCAAATGAGTTAACTTAAAAAAAAATACCCATTTGGTATACTTTCCTCTCAATATAAGATGGGACGAAAGTAGGTTTAGTGTTCATATGGAAAATTTTATAACTAATAAATAATAATATAAGAATAAACCCTTGCATACTCACCACTGTAAACCTACTTTTGCCCCACTCTGTATTTTCATGCCTGGGGTGAAAACACTGTATTTTTATAAAGTGTTAACAATATAAAAATACTTATAAATAAACATGCGGACATATAGAATATTAATTAGTAAGTAGAGGGCTTCTACCTATGTCTTTAGAAATAAATGATAGAGGTTGGGAGAAGTCAAAGGGAGATGAAATTCTTCTTTATTTTTTTATTTATTTCTTCCTTTCAACCAATTCTCTTATGCACAACTCCAGCCACCTA